TTGATGTAAATTACATAACTTTATGAGAGCACCGTGTACATAATTTTTTTATACTCAAATATTATATTTTTAAAAGGGTTAATTGCTAAATAAATCTTGACATTTTTCGTTTTGCAAATTTATCCTAACTTTTGGATAATTACAATATAATTTCGACCTTAACTTACTTTTGCAAAACGAACATAAAATTAGTCGGACCTTCAAAAAACGCCAGCGTGTCCGGCGCTTATATCCACGTGAAAATTTTAGTTTGCTCCTTGGGCTCCTCAGCTCTTCAATGTAACTTAGTAGCACTTCTTAGCCTGCTGCTAATCTCCTAAGACCTCACCGACCTGGTTTCCCACCGGGAATTTTACTTTTATGCAATAGGTTGATACTGCTGCTCAGGCATTCAGACTAGGTCGCCCTAGAATGACATTGTAAGTTGAAGTTGCGTCTATCACCAAAAATCTTATCAATCTTTTCATTTTCAAAAGTAATTGTCCCAATACTACCGTCAAGCACACTTCGCCAACTGGCTTGACTTCACCTCCACTAAAATCGTAGACGGTTGTACCAATCGGCTCAACCTTTTCCTTCAGGCCCATCTGCTCCAACAATGAAGGTAGCTTTTAGGTTGTTCTTTTTGGACTGCTACAACCTCTTCCCGCTAATCGCTATGAACTATCCGCTTTGGGGACTCTTCAGTTATTACTTGAATCTCTTTTCCTTTAGATACTTCTGCTGGTGATTTTTTCTTCATGGATCCTTGTGTGCTTCTAGAAATGTCTTCTGGATTATCGGATTTTGAGAATACCATCAGCCTCTTATAGTCGTAAAAGACTGAGATGTCCCACAGATGACGCCAAATTATTATGTCATTTTGTGTCACGAATGGGGTTGAACGCCTGCACCTCGAACGGTCCTTGTCCTTTAGCTCTGATGACCTGGAATACGTAGGGAGGGAGTTCCGCCATGAAAAACTCTGACGCTCAAGTCAGAACTCGCTCAAAACTTTAGATATGAATTATGTAAATAAAAGACACAGGATGCGATATTAGATGAAGAAGAACCTGTCACCCTTAGATAGGATAGATATCTTGGTGCCCAAAAGAGATCTTGTTAGGTAAGATATCCAACCAAATAATACTTCCTAACATACTACATCTCTATTTGGGCAAGAGTCCTTAAACGAACGATTCTTTCCTCTTTACTAGGATTCTTTTGTAGTGCCCCGTTCGATTTTTAGGAGTCGATTTGTTTTTTTTTTATATGCTTGTGTGGTTTTTGCTTTGTGCTTATTGCCTACTGATACCTCGACTGAAATTCTTGATTGTTAAGATTATTTAGATGTCCTCATCTATTTAATCTAGTATATTGAATAATCTTCGTAGATGTCCTCGTCTACTTAAATTATGTCGAATTATTCGTTTTGCTTAGCGAAAAACGTTTGTTTTCAAGTTCAAGTACTTTTGTCTTATGAGCCTTTTTTTCTAGCCGAAATATGGTTCGCCCAAACTTAAGTTTCGGCCTAGCCTTCTTATTATTTTTCGGCCCAATGTTGCCTACGAGTTCGACCCTTATGCCTTATGGTGTCTCGGCTCTTTTGAATGCAAACAATACGGCTTAATGCACTTAAAGAAACCGGCCCTATTAGCCCCTAATTGAGTTGTGTTAGCTCCAAATTTTAGTTTGAATTTCAAACTCAAGGGTGTTAAATTTGGTAAGAAGGTTTCAACCCTTAAGAGCCTCTTTGACCGGCCATTAACCCATAATTGGTGCAAATTTAAGTTAGACAATTATGGTATTATTGCCTCAATTGATTTCCCTTTGATTGCCTTAAGAAAAAATCCCACGTCCTTAAAACTTTCCAGATTTGAAAATCAGCCTTTTGGAAACAGCAAGAAAAACTCTCTCAAAGCTCTCTAAAACCAACCCTCAATAGCTCTCACCCACTCTCGGCATAATCCAGCCACAAGCAACCGCGGCAGCGCATCGGGCCACCCACGAACAGCGCCTTGTTTGTCCTATTTTTGTTGGTGTTTTGCGTGTGTTTTTCTCCCGTTTTAGGTCGTTTCTTAGGTGTTACCGGTCCGTCTAGTCGTTTCGTGTATTTTATCTTTATTTTGGTGTGTTTGGTATTTTCTTTGTTTTTCGTGTTTTTCCGATTTTGGTGGTTTCAGGTCGTTCAGGTTCCCAAGAGTTTCATCTCGATTCGTGCCACCAAACATGCGAGGATTGAGTTCTAGCTCGGAAAAGACCCGAGAGACGCTAGCCGAGAGCACGCGAGCCCGTGACATCATCATTTTGGAGCTACCCAGGCCTTAGCGCCGCTAAGGTCTATTTTGTAACAAGCGCGATTTTCATGGAATTTCAAATGGGAAGGCTATTAGTTCGAACCTAAAGCATTATTGGAGTATTCCAGACATTGTGTACTTCGTTTTTCACTTCCAAAAACACCTTTCTCTTAGTTTTTCATTGGAATTCAATCTTGGATAGTGAAAACTCCAAGATTCGACTTTTCGATTTGGTTTGTTCCTTGTTTTCGACATTGAATTTACAATAATCGTAAGCTCTTCTTTTCTTTTGTGTATGATTATGATGGTTTTGATTAATGCGTACTTTGATGTTGAACTCATTATGAGTAGCTAAATTCGTTAGCTAGGGTTATGGGATAATTGTTCCGGTTTTTCTCGTTTATGTGCATGACGATTGCTCAATATTTGCGAGTTGTTTTAATCCTAGAGTTAGATGATTGATCACCATCTTAATCTGTTTAATCGATTTTATAATCGAAAGGAGAGAAATCGATCGATCGTGGCTCGTTTAGAATAGACTTGTTCGGAAACGTATTGTCTATGTGCTAATTGATTCGATAATTGTTCGTTTATGTTTATTCTCTTGTTACGTGAGTTATTGAGAATGAATCTCTAGATGAGTTAGTTTTTTGAGTCCTTTAGCCGAGTAGTTGATTGCCCGTTAAATGTATTTAGAACCAGAAACGATTGTCCCCGATACCCTAGTCTCTTTGTTGTTATTTGAATTGTGTTTTGAGTTGTGAGATTGAAATAACTTGTTAAGAATCGTTAGTTGCTAGTTAAAATAAAAAACAATCGAATTAGAGTGTTTAGAATTATTTTCTTTTTTTGTGACTGAATATTCGTACAATTTAATCCGGCTAACCTTCCTTGAGATACGACCCGGTGTTTGAATCTCTTTATTTAACTCCGGTAAAAGTAACTACAACACGCCTGCCGAGAGCCGCGTGTACCAGCAGCGCGAGGATCTCCATTCGGTTTGAGCAGCATCAAGCCATTGTCGCAACAGCCACACCGCATGTGAGAAGCAATCTCCAGCCGAGTTCGAGAGTGCAATCGTTAGCCCCACCGTGAACAGCCGCACCCCGACAGCCAGCCGTCGCACCGTGGGAGCACCAGCCACCAAAGACACCGCATCAATTTCCTCGATGAGACGTGAACAACCTCGAGCCCATTGCCGCTAATTCACGTGAGTAGCCAGAATGACGTAGAAACCATGCACCAGCGGCTGAGATCCACCACCGAGCGCGCGAGCTTCCCAGGCCAGCGAGTGCAGCCAGACCTTGACCCTACAACGGGTCTTCGAGCAGGTGCGCGCGCATCCGCGTGAGCAGTGCCAACGAGCGCGCTGCCTCTCGGGTGATACTGCAGCGCGACCCCACCGACAGTGACATGTCCCAGCACGACCCCGCAAGAGCGCAGCCCATGCCCAGACACGACTAAGTCGATCTGTAGCTATCCGGCTACGCCGAGACGCGAAGGCAGCGAGCACGTGGGCGTCGTGCCAGTCGCAACCCGCGACTGGTGCCAGCGCTAGCCGCGAGCCTAACCCGAGTCATTGAGCCATTTTTGAACTGTGTGAACCATTTTGGTGTTGAACCTTATTTTAGTCTCGAGAACCTTTCGAAGCCTCTTTCCAAGAGTTCTGAGTTCTACTATTTTGTATGAAATGCATAATCAATAAAGTTTTTTTTTTTTCAAAATCAATAAAGTTATTAATTAAGTTAAAGTCAATAATTTCCAAGTGTAAGGAAAAGTTATTTATAAGAGTATTCTTGCCTTAAATTGCAGATTCGAGGAGTCGAGCTTCGAGCGACTATGTGCAGTATAATCAGATCTGAAGTGGGTGTTGCTAAACTACTATGCTTTTATTATTTATAATCGCATGGTTTCATAATTGATGTATATATAATGACTATTTGCTAACTATATGAAATTGATTGTGTAAGATGAACTCTGTGTATTTTTGATTGTGTGAAGTAATGACTGTGTGACGAAATGACTGAGGTGTGCAATGCAATGGTTGTGTGATGCATTGGCTGTGTGGCACCTTTAGTGTGCCGAAATGACTGTGGGTGCAATGCGATGGATGTGTTATGCATTGACTATTGTAGATGATGATGTTTATACGGTTACTTTTCGTACTTTCCAATTTACTTTACATATGATAGAAGTTTTTAGTTCTCTATTTCTTGGTTTATGCCTTAGTTTGCAAAAAATAAAAAATCTTGTTTTAAGTTGCCAATTTAAAAGTTGTGCTTAAATTGCATTTAAAATAAATGTGGTGATTTATTTTGCAACTAGCCCTTATAATGCTCAAACTTTCTCCAAATTGCTCGCAGGAAATCACGTATAGTTCTCTAGTGATTAGTCTTCACTCTTTTTGCACAGTACTTATAATTATTTCAACATATTTAAACTTATGCAATGAAGACAACATTTAAAACTGGTCTTCTGCTTATTCAAACAATTTCGAAGACATAAAATTAAGAAACACAAACGGCCGTTCTTTCCCCTCTGTGCAAGCAGCAATATATTAAACCAGTCAAGAAGAAGAAGAGAAAATATTATTCTGTCATTCCACAAGAACAAAATGCTCTCAACTTCATAAAATGGACACCGAACTACTCTTCCCCAACTCCAAACCCAATCCAAACTGATTCAAAGAGCATCACAAAAGAAACCAAAAACACAAAATCACCCAAAAAATTACTAGATCCACAANACTGTGTCTCCAATTTTCAAACACCCAAATCCCTCCACAAACAAACTCCACACACATCTCGTTCCCAGAAAAACTCGCGCACCCAAGACCCAAACTTTGAACAACAGAAAAACAAAGAAAAGCAGAGATAAATTGAAAGCACAATACCCTCAAATCTAATGTCGTGATCTTGATGCAGCCATTCTAGCTTCATCAGGCGTCGATGGAAAAAGCTCCACATACCTCGACCCAATCATCATCCTATCCTTGCACATCGCCCTCCTCGCCTCCTGAGCCGAGCCAAACTCCACGTACGCCTCCCCAGTCGCCTTCCCATCCGGCCTGCACGCAATCTGCACCTTCTCCTCTTTCACCCCAAACTCCCCAAAGAACCTCACAATCTCCGATTTCCTCACCGAGTAAGGAAGCCCCCTCATTTTCAAAACCTCCGTATACTCCATCTCGTCCTTATCAGGCGACCTTCGATTACTACTACCCCTGATAACAGGAGACGAAGAGTCCAAACTCCCGTAACCCCCTTCACTAACCTCTGCAGCTATGGCATTGTAATAGTCCTGCTTCTTGCACGGGAAAACCTCCACGTACCTTCTGCCCATGTTCTGCCTGTCTCGGCCGAGCGCCATCTCAGCCTGCATCGGGCTTGCAAACACCACAAAGGCCTCGCCCGAGAACCTGCCCTCTCGAGACACTAGGAAGACATCTACAATGTCGAGGCCAGCGAAAAACTTGAAAATGTCGAGGTCTGAGCAGTTGAAAGGGAGGCCACGAAGGCGAACAGCTGGGAAAGTGTGTGGCAGGTGATGGGGGAAGGTTCGCGCGTAAGGATTCGAGTGGTATACACTGGAGCTGCTGCTGCTGCTGTTGTTAACTGTAAAGTAGGGATTCGAGTCCATCAATCTTGGCCGCTTTGAACCGATCCCGTACCCGTCCGAAACCCCCCCGCTCCCAAAATATGACCTTCATGTGTGTTCACGAAAACAAAAATTCCCACCCGAGAAAAACTCAACCTTGTTAATAAAAGCCAGTCCCAACCCATTTTTTTTTTCCATATTATCTAGCTTTTTTTTTGTTTTAGTAGACTGATACTCATACATGTTAGACCTAAATGTAGATATAGATAATTCTTTAACTTAAAAATGTTATGAAGCAAGAAGAGACAACTTGGTAAGACAAATACAGGAAAGCCCACTTTTGATCTTAGTCAAAAGAAATGAACTGAAACATAGGTAGCACTCATAGAAACATATAGACAGGAGATAAAAGTTGACGTTATTATAAAGGGGAAATCCACGAATCTTCATAAAAGAACAATTGTTTGAAAAACCAGAGAGCAATAGCGTAATACGGTAGAAACATATATTCAAGGGCTCTAAGAAATTTACATATATTTTCTAAATATATATTCTGCAGAATAACTTACAAAACAAAGAGGCAAATTTCACAGATCCTTCTATTCATCAAGTATCCTTTTATTACATCAAGTACAGCACGTAATGTTCCCAGTTTTCATGATCCTCTGAAAGATAATTTGTCCTTATGCAGGAGATGAAATTTTGTGTCATTATTTAAAGGCCAAATAACTCTAACCAACAAGTATGAAACATGAGAAAGGAAATTTATGAAGGAAATACATATATAATTTTTAGGAGTTATCAACAACTTGTTCCTGAATCATTAAGCACAAAGTCAACCAACTGGTTACAGGCAGTAAAAAAGATCAAACTAAAGGGAACTCCCATAAAAATTCACGAGAAACATATTTCTAATACGGAAGGGGCAATTGAGACACTAAAGGGCGGGCGAGAACATAATTGGAAAGGGCAGAACATATTTCTAATTCAAAAGGTCTAATTGAGCCGCTAAGCATCTCCCTGAAAGCAAATAGCTTTGCGAAGAAAGAAAAGTGACACACAAGCTCTGTAATTCTCACAGGAAATTAAAAAATAATAATAATAATAACAATAAGCATTACAGCCGCAGCGATAATGAAAGAAGGAAAATAAACAATCAATCACACACAGTTCAAGAATAATTCATCCATTTGTAGATAAAATTGACCAGAATTTCACATACATAGAAAACCCAACTATCGAAAAACGGGGAAAAAAAAGGGAGAGATTTCTTTCACATTACCCTCTGTGCCCGTACATGGCTGCAGCACTATCACAGTCTTTGATAGGATTCTTTAGTATATGAGGACGTAGATCCCACTAGATGGAAAGGCTCTTTGCAGGGGAGGAAAAAACGAAGAGATGTGAACCCTAGTTAGTTATAAAGGGGGCAAATTTTCACCCAAAAAAATGTGTAGTTTGGGGCACCGAGGCAGTCGCTCGGGAGAAAGAAAAAGGGCTTTTCCTACAAAGTACCTAAACCCTTTTTCATATTCCATTTCAGTCCCTACACAAAAAAAATTTCTTTTCACTCCCTATTAGACTAAATATCTTACAATAAACTCCCTATGTTTAAAAAAAATGATAAATAAAATACACACATCACACCACCATCCACCAACTTATTTTATCCAATTATTATATTAGTTCTAATCTTCTTCCACAATCCACTCCCTCATTCCTTTTCAGTTTTCACTCCCGATTTGGGATTTTTAGTTTTTTTTTT